AAAAATCTTAGAGCAATCGATGCAGAAGGGGCCAAACTGGCAGCAAAGCATAACTTTAACTGCTCAAGTATGCTTTCCCAAATAAGGTAGATGAATGTACAGTATATAGGTGACAATCAATAGACATCCAGCTTCCCAAATGAATGCTCAAACAAAAACGGTCTCGCCCCCGAGGATCTCAACTCCGCAAATGTGATGATATCAATTCCTGCTCAATCAACACAGGGCATCATCTGCCCGAGAGTAGTGAAAGTAGAGAACGATCGAAAGTCAGCTCTTCTCCGAGTCACTTATGCTGTTCAAAAAATACACAACAATAATCCAATGAAGGCCAAGTCGAAAAAGCCCTCATTTGAGACGTTACTTTCTGCGACACCACATGACTTGCATAAGTTGATGAGTTCATATTATGAGTTCTATGCGTCAACACACCTTCGTGTTGTACATTGCTGAAAATGAGCTGACTTTAAAGATAGGAAGAAGGAGTCTTCAAGCTGGAAGTCATCCTTTGTGAAAAAAGAGCTGCCATTCCCACACTTGGCCCCTTCGTCTGTTCCAAGTTCCAACGGCTTCACAGCATCGCCGAGTCAGAACCGTGGCGTCGTCCGCGTGGCTTCGCAACGACACATCCGTTCGTTTCAAAAGGCCTCGGGCTACACCGAGTGGACTGAGAATCCCCGTCGTGGCCCAAAGAGCGAGTCAACCGCAAACCAAAAAGCAAGTGCTACGTCCTTCAGCTGGTGAGTTGTTTGAGGTACATCTCATGGCTCTGAGCACTGAATCAAGCCTAATGCTCACGCTTCTGTGCCCCCTTGCGCTCAGGTAGCATGCACAATAGCTTCTAAAAGACAAACGTATCTGTGCTATTAATACACATTTGTTTACTGCTCTAAGCCAAGCAGCGCTTGGTACCCACTGAGTGGGCTCCAAATGATCTCAACAAACCTGAGCAGTAGTTGGTACGTCAGTGTCACATTTCTTGGAACACTCTGCAGCGTCAGTGTATCCCGTCGTGATACGAACTGATGATGATGATGTGTAGTCATCCTGGTTATCCTGGACTAGATAGAATATGGGAAAAGAAAGAAACAACAATGGAAAACTGGTCATGTGGTTGGATTCGTTCATATGATATCTACTCCAGAATGATTATATTTACATTTATTTCGGATACTAACTAGTCACATATGCATGGTTCTAGATACATTCAGGAGACCAAAAAGCAACGCATTGAGACCAGCCTTTACAGTCAGAGAGCCTCTCTGTGCAAATGAAACAAGAACTTTGGGATCTCTTTCGCGTTCCTGGGAGACCTGGGAGGTTCCTTTAAACAGTTCTGCCAAGCCACCCAGGCCAACTCCTCATTGAGCAGCCGTGCGCATGGCAAATGCCCTTTCCTGCCAGGCCATCAGAGCAAATGGGTGGTGCATCTTTGACTTCAATTTGTGCTTCTGCTTGAAAGGATCTCCTATCTATATATTATATAAAATATAGCAATGTTTTTGGAATGCCTTCAAGGCAAGGAAAGGGATGGACAATATCTAACTTCTGAGGGTTGCGAAAAATTCTCCTGCTGGCGTGTGCTGCGGCTTCAAGACCAAGCTTGTCCTTTTTCGTGAGGTTTGCACCTTGGGAAACAGTGCTTGGTGGGGCACTGCAAAACTTGGGACCAACCGAATACTTCAGAAACGTGTTTAATGTGTTTTAATAATGTCTTCGTCATAGAACGTTTGTGTTTTCAGTTTAAGACCAATCATTACAAAATACATTGTAAAACCGAGTGACAGTGTTTAGCTAATTCTTAATGTGTGTGTACATATACATGTGGCCGGCCACCGAGGCTCCCAACCGCTCCGAACGAGGAGCTGCACGCAACTCAAATGGCCTGAAATCGCAGCACCTTGGTGGCCACCAATGAAAGAGAAAAGGTCACCACCATGAAAGAGAACCATTCTGTTTATGCAAATGACTTACTTCAACCAATCAAAGAGCATTCCTGACTTTAAGGATGCCTGGAAAACTCGACATCAAGTGTGGAACCTGGAAGGAAACGTGGAGAACAGGTGACCCTTGCATACCTTGGATTTCCTGAATACGCAATGTGGTTTTAACCAAGTGATCCTTCACTGGCCTTCCAAGCAGTTGACAAACTCAGCAGAAAATGACTTCTCCAGCAAAACGACGCCCTGGGCACATCGGTTTCTTGCACTAAGAAACACAGCATTGCCCTGCTGAAAGTGGGGTCGGTGGTTGGAATCCGAGTGAACTAGCTATGGTCCAATGGTATTCTTCCCACTCTCGGCTTGATGCGCAATGCCATTCGCCAAACCATGTCTGGATGAATCTGGGCATCCCTGACGCATAAGAGGTGTAGTGCCCAGAAAATCCTGATTCCAAGAGCATCAGGCGACTGAGTGCGTGTACACCTGCAACTCTTGATATATCTCTGGATGAATCTGATGTTGCTGCTTTCAGCTCACTCATCGAAGCATTTCCTCAGAAATCTGCCATTTGACCTTATCAAGTGAGCACCGTTCTGTCGCGTCTTGGCCCTTCTGTCGCGTCTGGTCTCTCCTCCGCGTCCACATCTGCTCCACTAAGGAGGAGCAGCTCCAAGCAGCGCGCATGACCACGAAAAGCTGCATGCATCGAGGCCTCCCCGCAGTGCGCGCCATCGCGTCTTCGAGCTCAGTTACCAAACCAGGTGCAACCAGCAAACGTAGAGGTATCCAAACAACAGGAGTCCAAAGTCCTACATCGAGCGCAGGACCAACAATTCTGAGATTACAGAATCACTTGGATGCTTGGAGAAAACCAGAGGAAAACACATGAAAACACTGGTGCTTGAATCAAAGCTTTTCCCCATCCAAAGGATAGCCATGCAAGCTGAGCTCTCCGGCGCTCCAGCCACGGTTGTCTCGATGGTTCGGGTCCGCGCCATGCAAGATCAGTTGCCGCAGGCATTCCTGGAAGCTCCGGCTTTGGACTCCTCCCCTCTTGGTGGTGAAGTTAAAACGGTTGACAAAAGCCATCAAAAGCCGCTATCAAAAACGGTGTTCTGATAATTGCTCGTTTTGTTGTCCATGCACTGCATTTCGCCGCCTCATGCCCTCGGTCTGCAGCTTCCATCACCGCCGTTTTCCCTCGACCTTACAGTCACAGTGCCTTTCGTCTCCGTCTTGCAGGTGCATTTCCTGTTTCCTGTGTTATACAGTAGGAAAGAGGTCTATGTAGCACCTGAATAAAGATAATTAAGTGGAAACTGTTATTGGAGGTAACATGCTTCAAGCCGTGAGAGTATGTTGGCAGCTACACGGGCCAACCTACAATTGGTGCCAAGCAGCTTTTGCTGCAAGTAGTGCTACTCCTAGCTCCTAACAGTAAAAGCTTTAGACACTATAAATCATGGACCTTGTATAGACATGACCATGACGGTTCAAGGTTAGGAAATACCCAACACGTGCTCTGTACAGGCACATAAGTTCACGGTTCGGTTTTGTCGTTTGGAACCACTTTGGAATCTTTGCGTAGCAATGCGTAAGACTCCTCCCAGCCAACTCGCTCTGAGGCTTCTTGCTGTCCGGGGCGTTGATGTCGACATCATGCTGAAGCATACGTTCAAGCTCCTGTCGCATGCACTTGTCAAGGAGAATCACAAATTTCGTACAGTCACAGCTCCCGTGCTTCTTTTTCCCTTCATGTTCAGTGTTCGATAGCATGCATCACTTCATGTTGAGCTGTTCGATAGCTCAAACAAGCCTCAGATTGACCTGAAGCCTCAGCGCAAATGCAACGAAGACCCCTCCTTCGTGTCCCCCGCCGCAGCGGCCGAGAGACACCTGTGCGGTTTCACGCGCGGCCGATCGTGCCAGGGTCCGCCCCACGGACGAAGGCGGTCTTTCACGGCAGCTTAAGGAAACCAATTGAAAGACATAAAATGTAGCACTGAGGAAAAGAACTGCTTGAAATTCTGTGGGCTTGCGACTTGCGAGTGGTTTCATGGCACACCATCTCTCGATGGTGTGCCATGTGGAGGTTTTCCAGGCTTGACCAGTCACCATGATGAGTGATGAAGATTGAAGCGTAAAACATCCAACTTGTCCCGGACTTGTCCCATTGATCCGTTGTTTAATGCAAAATTGATCGGTTCATCTCTAGCCGACTTTAGCCGACTGTAAAGCGTCTGTACCTGTCTGTGCTCCAGGCTGCGCCCATGGGGCCTAAAACAAGTCGGAGCCCAAGACAAGTCGGAGCTTTGGGGTTGAAACTTTTCGGAAAGAGCCTACTCCTACTTTTTTTGTGGGCGTCTACTTAATTAAGGTGGTAAGCTCAGGGCGACTAGCTAGCTTCTAGTAACACTTGTAGCGTTGGGGTCTCCTTGAACCTGCTAACTGCTAAGTACGATGTACGACAAGGTCTCGCAGCAAGCTGTCTGCTTTCACCCCTGAACGCACAGCATCTCCGGAAGCAACGGCTCCTCAACACAAACAAAATGAACAGAATTCCACAGAGTACCACCGCGTCCAGGGAAGCGCTACTAAGCTCGCCGCGTGTCTCCGCAAGGCAGAGCTCGTTTCCTACACCCCTTGCTTAATCCTCAACAGCCGTCAGGTCCGCTGGGTGCACCAAATCGGCTGAATTCAAACACAACACAACACAGTTCGCAATATAGTACAAACACACAATCCTCCCCCGTGTCCTCTTCCATCATCATGAACCTCTGAATCCAAAGTAAAACATGTTCAGACTGTTTGGATTCTTGCAAAGACACCTCAAATAACTGGACCAAACCTCAACCAGCAAGCTTTGCTTTACGCATGGGGATTGTTTGGTGATTTGCAAACAGCCTCAAGTACATGCTGTCGCTCAATATGAGCTGTCAAGTTTCGCCGCTTCACAGTTTGTCCTACTTACTGTCCCTCAACAAGAACAAAGGACAGCGGATTCGGATAGCATTTACGGATTTTTTACGTGATCAACCCAACTTGGATGCGTTGATGTCAGGGTAAAGAGTTCGAAGCCACTGAACCGATGCTTCGGTCATCAAGATTGCACCCCAAAGCTCCCCAAGCTTGGGCTTGGGTGGGGCACTCTTTGCACAAGGCTTCGGAGAGTTCCCAATCCGCATTGGCGAACTTGTCCAGAATGGCCCTGAGACACTGGCGTTATATCTGGCACTTGAATTTGTTCCAACGGCACAGCTCCACGAACCGTATGCCGCCTTATCTAAGTTCAAGATAGGTGTAACTGTGTTTTTAAGGTTTTGAAAAATGTATGGTACGTGCATGTGGTACGGTACGCTTTTGTAGGGTACGGGACGATCTAAAACCATGGTACGGTACGCTTTTGTATGGTACGGGACGATCTAAAACCATGGTACGGTACGTTTTTGTATGGTACGGGACGATCTAAAACTATGGTATGGTACATGTTTGAATGATACGGGACGATGAGATCTTGTGTGATATGATACAACTTGGAAAGATGAAACAAAACACTATTTGGTGTTGTTTGCCTTTGGCTGCTTATGATGGGAATGTCACAAAACAAAATTTGTCAAACTGGCATACGGTATGCCACTTATTGCCACACAGCATCCAAAAAGCCCATTGCATCACCAATCTAACGACATTGAATGTTTTGGCCACCCATAAAAGTGATCTTTTTTGTACATATGCTCAATCTCTTCTCTTGGACACAGAGGAATGCGGTGTCAATATCTCTGAGTCCCAGGCTTGTTGTCCTGCTTGAACATGCTGTACTCATCAACACTAAAAGATTCCTCGCCCTTTTTGAGTTTGTCCTTCCTGGATCCATCGCTGGACTGAATGATGGTCCGCTCCTGGAAAGGACAAAACACACAAAGCGGTTGGCAAAAGCAACTGGCTGCACATGTCTGGCGCAATGCACATGTCAAAGGTCAGAAAGCTTCAACCTCTAGCAGCTGACTGCGCTTGTGTCATGTGCTTTGCCAAGGTAGATGAACCATTGTATTGAAGGGCCCCTGACTCCACCAGGACCCAACAACCCCATAGGACGCAACTAAGACTCCACATGCTCGCAGCCTCTGCCACGTGGCACACGTTGTTCACGTGTAACGGACGCTTCGACTCCAACTTCTCGGCCTGACGGGCGAATCACTTTGGCGTCCTTTTGCGTTGACATTATGATATGTTTAAATCTAGCCAGGGATTGCAAAAACTATGAGTTATCTAGTTCTTTTTGCAAATTGCATGTGCTATGTTTTTGCTACTATTTGTGCTTAAATGTTTTTAATGTACTCCTACCCTTGCTCAGGAAAAGTGTTGCCATTCGGTTGTGGCTTTGCTAGACATTTTAAACGATATGTCCTTGGTGTTTGTTGATGGTGGCCTTAAAGCGATTGCATCCATTTTGGTTTCGTCTTTGCCCTTACTCCTTAATCAAGGACATCTGGGAGGGCAAAGGGCCCATCACTTTCCACAAGCAGAACCTCGATCTGAGACACATAGTTTCCACCTACCCCAGGTAGTTAGAAGCTCAATTGAACAATGTGTGTCCCCAGCAAACGGAAAAAGACCTAAATGGGCCAAACAACACCTAGTGGAATCCGCGCTCTTTTTTTGGGAATGGCGCGAAGAATTGCAAATTGGAATTGCAAAAAAGCCACAAATTGCAAATCCTCGAGTTATTTTTGAAGCTTTCAGAGATGTGCAATGTGTTTGAGCCAAAGGGCATGTCAGGCACCTGCCAGTTGGGTATGCTTGTTAGGCCCACCGCACACGGCAACTCATGACTACTCAGAACATGTCTTTACTGGCTTTGCTGGGTGACTATGGACTTTGGGACCTTCAACTTCGTCATCATGCCAGTGCCCAAGCAAAGCACCAAAAGAGATTCAAAGTCCCTACAAGTGTGAGAACTCTGCGTTTGAAAGCTACGGCGGAGCACACATGCGACAGCAAAGTTGAAGATAAAGACATTGGACACAATTTGCAAAATAACGGCAAATCAGAACGCAGCAATGAAAACAACCAACAAAACATCAGAACAAATGAAAACCAGAATGCGAAAAAAAAAAGAAGAACATAATTCATATAAATAGTACAGTAAAAAAAAACAACTGGAGCTGACCCAGTCTGAGGCTATTTAAAAAAATCGACTGGAGCTGACCCAGTCTGTGGCTATAAACATCTCATAACCGGTGACGTTGCCAACAGGAGCACCAAGTGGTATGCCAAGAGACCACGCTGCCTTTGCTAAACTAGTATCAGGGCTCAATTTGAGCTTGAGGGTATTGGGGGACAGCTTGCGAAGAGTGTTTAGGGTCTAAGAGATTGGCAAAGACCAACAAAGCAACCTAATAGCGATGGCCTCCAACCTAATAGCGATGGTTTCCAAACAAAGCTCCATTAAACAACATGGCTGTGGTCCAAGGTTTCACCCAACCGAAATCTTCAACGAGCAGTCCAAACCAAAACTGTCACATCCTTTTAGGCTCATCCAAATGAGCCTTGTCCACTTCGCCCTTCTCCATGAGCTTTTTCTTTTCACTCTCGATTTCCTGGTACCGATTCAACTTCAGGAACACTTGAAGTGAGGCAAGTGGCAAGCTGTTCAAAACTTTGACTTTGTCCAGGAAGTTCTTAATTAAATCCTAACGAATTCAACCAGCAAACATTCAAGGAGTGAGTACAAAGACAAAGTTGCTGAGTATCCAACAAACCATGTTGAACAAACGGTAAACTCTTGATAGATCTTGATAGCATGGTCTCCCTTGAGTCATCCGAATCGAACGATCCAGTTGTGAAGACATGTACAGCACTGTGCGGAACTAATGACGAATGACTAATGTGTCTTGCTCTCCCATACTGTGACATGCTAGATCAATCTATATGGATCAACAAAATTGCTTCCTTGACCCTGGAAGTTCCCGCTCCTCTTCTTTTCTGTCTCGAGTTATTCTGTTGACACGGATGTTGAGGCCAGTGTCCAAGTTGGGATGAAACCTCAGTGTGCGAAACGGAAGAGGAGCCAGCCTAGGCCGGCTAGGCAAAGCTATAGGTGTCAGGCTGCGATTGCTCAAGAATCTCGAATCTGCCAATTACAGTCCAACATAGATATTCAGACTGAAAACAAAAATTGCATCGTCTGGCAAACCCTGTCCTCATAATTGTCTTCTTTGGATGTCTCTGGCTTGGTCTCCCTGGCGTAGTCTCGTCATCACTGATCTCCAAGCGATCCCACTTGGAGTAGTCGAAGCCACTCATCGGTGCAGTCGGTGAATCCAGGGGAGCTCGGCTGGGTTTTGAACGCTGCGGTGGGATGAAAAACGAATCACGGTGGGAACATGTCACAGGTCGGTGCCTTCTGACAGAGGCTGCCATGTCGTTCAAGCTAGCTTCAGTGAGATTCACTCCTGGGCTACTCGTGTGCAAGACGAAGGTTGAGGCAATGTTAAGAGGTCCAAAAGGGATCAAGATTGTGTTTCTAGGGTCTATCCAAAACAGGCCCCTCAAAGGATCTATTGGGAATGAACGGAATGAACCAAAGTACAGGTGGTACACATCTACTCAATTTACATCAATTTAATGGGAGGACTCAAGCATCAACGTAAGCTGCTGACTCTTTTTCATCCTTTGTTCTGTCTCGACTGTCTCTCCTGAGATCCCATAGGGTCCAAACACATCCTGAAAGGCACTTGGACCCGCTGGGCAGCCACTTGTCCGTGGGCATAGCACGGCTATGATCTCAGCACGCATTAGCGGGGCGATTAGCAGCCCTTCCAGATAGCCGCTGGGACATCAGAGATAACGTTAGCTGGCAATGGCATCAACCGCATTTATACTGACTATGATCTCGGCATGCATCGAACGCTTTGGTTGGCGGCGAAACATGTCGAAAGCAATGTTATGCTAATTGCCAAACATAAACATGCAGCCAACATGATTTGACAGGAGCCAGTTGGGATTGGCTATTCATGGAAGAAATTTCGAACAGGATCATAAAATTGCTGCTGACGCGCCACACACACACACCATAGTTGTTGGTCATTGCCCTGGGTCAAAAATCTCAAAATCATAGTCGGCACAAACATGCACAACCTGCAAAGAAGGGTTCCTCTTCAACACAACCAGCCTACGACATATAGATTCTTGTGGTCTGCCTCTTCTACTTTGTGCATGGCATGTGTGAAATTACCGGAAATTACCCATCAACGCCGCCAGTTCTCTCATACCTCTCTGAATCTCTGGCAGCACACATCTAAGTCTGGTCAAGTCCACAGCCAAGTCTGGTGAACGGTCAAATCAACTTGGACACCTAGTGTCGCGGTCCTAACCTACATCAATTTCATGCATCCAACCCAATGCTAGTAAGGCCATGACAAGCCAGGCTTTCAATCCATATACAACTCAAAGGTCATTTCAAGTGTCAAGCTTGTCTCAACTGAGTAGGCTTGGGATGTCTACTGATACTGCTTATGGCACGAGCATGAGTTGATTTGGCTCCTCAACTGGTCTTAGCATTGAGTTGTTCGCGGGGACATCTTCCATTGAGATGCCCATGGCAAAGGTGAGAGGGACTGACTGGGGCGGTCCACTATCTCACTCCTTTCTCACCTTTCACTGCAATAAATCACTCAGTCAAGAGTGTCTGTGTCAACTTTCTGTTTGGGTGCAGCAGCCTCCTGGAAGCATGATATACACAACCACTCTTCATGGTCGCATGTGGAGACAAACCCACATTGTATTCACTTCACCATAAAAGGTGCGAGCTAGATCCTAGTCGCCTCTGGCATTTGCACACAATTCATTCGCTTCAACCAATGCTCCGGAACACAACCCGAAAATCCACAGAACCTCTGCTCCGGAGGAATCCTCCACGAAATGTCATAATGCAAAGGATTACAGGATTACTCTATATTGGTTCTTGGACGCAGTTCGACGGGGATCCTTTTTGGTCACCTACCACTTCCCTGGCTTCGCAGACCCCGCAGGATCCAGCGTCTCCACTGCAACAAAGTCGTGCACTTATGCTGGTGGAGATCCGTCCTTTTTGTCCATCCAACGCCGCCTGTGTTGTCCTTTCTTGTCTGAACATGTTTGCCCCTGGTCTCGGTTGAAGAACAGTTGGTGTAATGGGCCGACCAGAAAAACGATTCCACTTCCGCCATCTCCTCCTCGGGTGTGGAGCCACCCTGATGCAGTTGGGGTGTGAAAATGCTGGAGCTCTGAAATCACGCGTTTGAAGTGCCCGATGAAGGGGGCACGTCAATATTCCTTTAAAACAATCAGAGTCTACTGTTCGCTAAGGTTGTGTTGGGACATCTATGGACATCTGCTATGGATTTCTTTTGGGACACTTCCCGGAATAGAGAGACTGCATGTTTTTGCCGCTGGCATCAGTTCAGTTCAGGGGCCCAGTTGCCGTTGTCATGTTGAAAGACTTGTTATATAAGAAGCCTTCCGTTCAACGCCTTCCCCAGACCTTCACGTACAGTAACTGGGCACCCCTTCACCCAAGGGCTGCTCGGCGGGATCAAGATCTGGCAGGTCCTGGAAGCGTCAAGCTTCTTGATTCACCCCAGACTTTTGGAGCACCAAAAAGGCAATGGAAGACATGTGTTGGATCATAGATCTCCAAGATTCATTCCACAAGATACTCCTTACACCGGTACTCCAACTCCTCACATATCTTTTGCGTCATCGTTTCCCAAATACATGGGGATGGTCAAATGTCCTACCAAACAACACGAATCGGATGTGTAGAACACAGCTGTGTGAAGCTCTCGCTTCCTGATCCTTCCAGCCCGAAACCCACCTCATCATCAGAGTCGTATTCATCACCTCCCATATCGCCGAAGTTCATGTCACCCAGGCCTGTTGCAGCATAACACCAGGGTCACGGTCACTAACCAAAGGCCAAGTCTTTGCGACTTCAACAGCTCAGTGGCAGGGTACGCAATGGCAGTGCAACTGAACGAGAAATAGTTGTGTTTGGTGTGTTCCACAGTGCACCATCCGCACCATCCTACAGCTCTAATTGACCCAAGTCAATTTGACAGGCACTGGCAAAAACAGGCACACAGTTCGACGGCCTTTCACATGATGCCCAGCAAGAAGAGCCAGCAAGTAAATCTGAAATTGAAGGATTGGATATATGATGATATAAGTGATGATATATGTACATGCATATGTATAATTATGTATATATGTCTTTATATGTCTTTATTTGTGCCAATCTCGTTGGAAAATGACAACGAACACTTCCTCCGGCCAGCTGATAGGCGCACCGTCCAAATTCCATGCATTACTATTTTTTCCTTCATCCTCATCATCAGAATCCTGCCATCTCTTCCAATCAACCTCAGTGCGAATTCCATGGACAGCCCTCCCCTTGAAGACTCCGTCAATGGTGCAACTCTGATGACCCAATCGTCTGACAACTCTACCCAATCGTCTCTTGGGCACCCCATGGGGAGGTAGAAGCTCTTTTGAGGCATGCCAAGTATCTGTCCATCTTAGGTAGGAGCAACTGATCAAAACTGTTGGTTGTTTGGCTAAAGAGCCTCAAACATTGACCTCGGACCAACAGAACAAGGTGCAAAGTGCAGGAGAGTTCTTTTGAAAGTGCTGTGATGGTTTCATGGAATGATCATTAAGTCCAAGCTAAGCTGACTGTGAGGGGGAGTACCCCAGGCTTCGAGCCACCCAGGGAGCCCCTCATCTGAGGCATCCCAGCTTTGACCCAAGGGAGCTTCTTCTTGCTTAGAGAAGTCCATGTACCTTTACGCCAAAAGACATGGTGAAGGACATTCCCTTTGGGGAAGCTTACGAAGAAGGCCTCCCCTTTGGGGAACAATACTCAAACAGTAGTGACTACAGTAGGTGTGAATAGCATGCACTCACTGCATTTGTCCCTGGACAATGCCGCTGCTGTGGAAAGACTCCGTCTTGATCACCGACTCTCCGTAAATCTGCGACCCTCCTGCCTTCTGACTCTTTCTTCAGGTAGAACTCGATTAACCTGCAAGCTGGAACTGGCCAATCTGCTGGGGGATGGGATTCAATGAATGGGGTTTCTACAGTAGGTTTAAATACAAAACACTGCTACGACCGTTCATGTTGGAGATCGACTGTGCCTGGTGCAAAACCATTTCAAGAAAGACGCAGAATTTTATAGGTTGTCCAAGACTTCAAGAACCGTGTCAAAAGTTCCACTGCTTGCGGAGGACCGACTGAAGTGAAACGCACTCAAAAAGCTCCAATCTGGTTCTTGTTTCATCTGGTTTCTGTGGATCTTCAGAGACTTTGGACACGAAATGGCCAACATGTCCCAGTTGGGTACCAACGATAAGATGCTACAAAGATGTCATCTCAATCATCTACAAATCCGCTCTGGAGTCCAAGCCTAAAATGAGGTGTGCTTCCAAGATCGTCCAATGACAACAAGAGCAAATCGCCATATGAGTAACCGTTTCTGAAAAAACAAAGTGCATGAAATCGCAAGTACAGCAGGCGGGAGCTACCCATCATACCTTGCCGCCCTTGCCTCTTTGTACTCCACTTGGATTCCTCCTTCACGATTGGAGCCTTGTGTGGTGAATGCCCGGAGTTGAATTCCACCGCATGATTCTCCCTCCGCCGGTGATGCCCTGCCCTGAGTACTGATCTTAAATGTTTATGGATGACAGATGATGACAGCGGCTTCTCACTGCCAAATGCTGCTCGTTTGTCATCCGTCCTCTAGACATCAGCATGCAACTGGAGCCCTTCCAAGAGATGTTCTGAGTGAAGGCGTTTCTCCAGAAAGTTGTAGGTATTTATGATTATTCATGGATTGGAGAGGCCAACAAGCGAGCAAAGGCGCATGCCAAAGTCTGATCTTGCTTTGACTAGGCCTAGGCGTAGGATCCGTGTGCCCAACCCCCAAAACTCACATGCCACGGTTTCGCTGAGAAACAAAGAAGTCCAGGCTGAACTCATAGTGATTCCCTCCAGCCTGTCAGCAGAAGGCCTCAAACCTCTTCCATGGCAAATATCCTATGATGCAACAACGACAAGCTCCAAGAAACCTATATGAACTATTTCTTCAATGATTCATGCCTTGCCAGAGAAGCTGAGCTTGTCTGCGTCCAGGGAAACCTGACCAGCTTGACAGGTCTCTTTGTCCACCACGTGACATGCAACCTGCAATGTTGGAGATCACAAGTTAGACCGGCTCCGCATGGCTCGGCATACGGTGTATAAATGTGTATATACTTTATATATATATATATTATATATATACCAGAAACATCCAGAGACACAGTTGTTTAAGATACATCAGCTACAGCCACTCTAATTGATTTTGCAAATGCGCCATTTATAGAGATGTGTATATATATATATATATCAAGGTCATAGGCACTATGCACACTCTCTGTATTGAATATGCAGAAGTATGCAGAACAAGAAGGGCGCCAACCGAGGACCTTTATTTAAATATATTATATATATATAACAAATGCAAGGGATTGCGCTTTAGACTGCGCCACTGGATGTGTGAGACCTTTAGACAGCGCAGCTGAGCGGCCTTGATGTCTTGGACTTCGTTCAGGTCGATGGTCAAGAAGACCCCGTCGGGCCTCTGGGCCCAAAGCACATCCTCAGCCGGTCAGACGGTCGTTGAAGACAGCTTCAGACGGTCGAGATGAGAATGAAGACTGCTCCAGGATGAGATGATCTTGCTGTTTTACTCCAAGAGTTTGAACCCAAACTGACCAGGCTGCTCAAACGTTTATCAAACCGCTTCGTTCTGATGGTCTGTGTTTTGCTGCTCATGATTTGCGTGTGGAGTGCTAGGTGTCTGATTGTAATTTTGGTCCCTGTTTTGTACTTTGCTTCCTTGTTTGTTACTGTATATTATACACCTCATCTGAATCTAGTGTGTCGTGTTCTTCTTCTTCTTCTTCTTCTTCTTCTTCTTCTTCTTCTTCGTCTTCTTCTTTTGCTTCAGCTTCTGCTTCTTCTTTACAAGCCTGATCCAAAGATCTGGATGATCCTGCGCCAGCAAACGGGTCTCACATCACAAGCTATCCTCGCACTCCCTTTTCAAGCTCCATTACACAGTTTTCGGATTCTGCATGTCAGAGCCCACTCAGAAATGGATCTCTGTCCGCACAAACGTCCAGCACCAAAGGTTTTGTATGGTTTTGTAGGCTGTCTTTGGGGTCGTGAGGGCCGTGAGGGTATCGGTTTTTGCTTCTTTGGAGGTTGGTTGGCGATATCGCAGTTGACACGCGTGAGCGGTTGAATCGTTTGTCAAATCCCCTCACGCACCCCCCCGGAACCTCAGTCCTTTCGTTCAGATGGCCCTTGCCACTCCCTTCCTAGCCTTCCTCTTGTTGGCGTGTGAATAAAACACTTGCAGTAAATTCAGTATATAAAAGTAGCAACTGTAGCAGCAAGGGTGCAAATGGCACGCCCCGCCAACATTTAATAAACAAAAGACTTCAGCCTAGGCCAGGGGCCCAGCCCCCATCCACGGATCCTCAGTTCTTCCAGGACCCCCTGCAGGGGTAAGTGCCATGGCGAGGTCTCAAGCTCTCAAAACGCTTCGGAATGTAATGCAAAGTTGATGCAATGTGTCAACTGAATTGCTGTTGACCTTGCTGTTGACCTGGTTCCCATTTCAACCTGCTCTGTAGGCAGCTTCGAACCTTGTAGGCAGCACCCGAGCTCATTTCCTCTCAGGAACGAGTGCTCACTTCGCTGGGGGGAGTCTCTCCCACCGCAACAAAGGATTGACCCCTTCCGGTGGTGCTGTCATATCTGACCGTCTGGTGGCACTCTTGACCAAGGTGGCACTCCCTTTCACAAGATGAACATAGGTGAACAAACCCCCTTCGCAGGCAATGAACTTGCCCGACATTCTTGTTCCCTGTTGGGGGGTCCCCCAAACAAAGGAGGTATAGATGGCTCAAGACACTCCCATGAGTGTTCAAGCCGCCGGTGCGCCAGCTGATTTTCATGCGATTTCACAGCCTGAGCCGCTCCTTTGCGACAGTCAGCTGACTCACCTGGCCAAAGCTCTCTTTCAAAACGCCCGGATAGTCCAAAAACACACCCTCAAACTACAACCGCAGGCTTGGTAGGGTAGTCTTCAGGTAGGCTTGAATTCATCTGACCTTCCGGTGACCTAGATTGCCAGGTCTATTCAAAGAGGGATCTAGATGATCATCCATCCTTTGTTCAAAGCACTCAGTGGGTCATTCGGCACAACAATTGCTGGAACGATTAAACACTCCTTTGCTTCATCCTTGGCAGCCGAGCTCTGCTTTCTTCTCGGCTGCAGAGTTCTTCTTCGCCTCTGCCTGAGGCTTGTCACGCCGAAAAAATGCATTCAAATCCCAAAGTCGCAGACCGGGTTGACCGCTTTGTCTTGCATGAACTCAGCAAACAACCGCACCCGTTCAATAAACATGTTCTTTAATATTTGTGTCTTGGTCTTAGTCTCTTAGACAGACTCTGATGAATCAAATAGCTGTGTCCAAGCAGGGCAAGTAGGCAGAAAGCAGGGTGTGCTTTCTGACAAACAAAATCAAACAAACCAGCATCGTTTCGACAACGAATCTCAGCCCCACCCACCTACCCACCCACCCCACAGATATATACGCTGGGGCCAACCTCTTGCTGAATCTTCTTAGTGGTTTCGTAGAACATCACAAACCTGGCCCGCACAAACTGCACAAGAAGAAAATGATTGACACCTTGCAAACTAAAAACACCCAATTACACTTTGCAAGTGACTTGATTAAAAAAACAAAGTAAAACTGCTGAAGCTACAAGTCAGTCATGATTTCCCACAAGGCAAACCGCGTATAACATACAGTACCATATAAAAATATATGTTTCCCAAGGCGGTAAACACCGCACCAGAAGCAGTGCCCTGTGGTCTTGGAATGTTACCCTGAGTTCAGGTATGCGATATGGCTTGGCAGGCCAGTTTCTGTTTCAGAAGCTCTCTTCCCTGGGTCATCCAGCTGAAGTAGAAGCAGCAGCCACATGAAGGCAGCCGCAGCAGGGTTTAAGATCGCTATCCAGTCGCCCGTCTGCAGAATTGACGTCAAGACCTTAGATGGAAGATCTTGGAACGATCCTTGGTCGCTCTATCTCACAGCCGTTGGGCTCCCAACGCGAACGCTACATCCTGCAAAGCCTAGAACAGCCGGCCTCAAGTGAAGAACCAAAGATGAAAAGTTAATCTCATGGATGGCACAAAGTGACAAAGGACATCAAAGGACCAATTCTTGAGCAACCATTCCAACAATCAAAGTTGAACAAGATCCTGCTGGCTGTGCCCCCGACACGACTGACATCGTCCCGGTGTGTCTCTGTGAGTTGTTCTTCAGCACCTGCGGCACTTTGGCACCCGTGCCTTGGAGGGCTCTTGTTCGCCGAGCGAAGAATTCTTCGGAAACGCCAACCATGTGCATTCTCCCAACCATGACACACCTGTGTCACCTTAAAGATCACTGCGCAAACCACGCTCCGTAGGCGCACATCCCAAGGCGAAGGCCGAGGAATATCGGCATACTGCCAAGGGCAGCTAAAGCATTGGCAGGCAAACCTCACAGCAGATTCTTGCCCAGGGTCCCTCTGTCTCATTGCCTTCTCAAAACAGTTGCAAGGACCACACCAACTCGCAGTCCAAGGGCTGTGACTTGCAGTGCTATGGCCATGGTGTTTCTGTGGTCGGCCATACCCAACTAGTGGTTCTGCACCCAACCCAACCCGCCCAGGGCGCACCCAAGATCAGCACTGCCGCACTGGCCGCGATGAAGAGCAGTGTGCCCAGTATCCGCGGACTTGGACGCACGGGACAGCTATGCGTTTGTGGCCAACGTGACTTGCGGCCAAAGACTGGAGAGTCCACCGTTTTCGCTAATTAGTTTCAAGCGAGACGAGGCACGAACTAGTGCTCCTGTCATACTGTGTTTTCAGCTTTCTGTGTGACAATTGGGACAAATGGCATGCATGTCTTTCCTCCTCGGTGGCCTTTTTGCCTGCCATGTGTCCGAGATTCCCACAGGCGCGGCAACTCTGGACTGTACTGCCAGAAAAGGAAAATGATCTTGGCCGCCAGCGGCGAACGGCTTTACGCTTTAATTTGGTTCCTAGTTGCGATGCCAGGAGCCCCTAGTAGTGTCCTTGCTTCTAGTAGTAAGGCCAGGAGCTCCTAGTAGCTTCTTGTTCCTAGTAGCGATATGTATATAATTATATATATCACCCTATACCTTGAAGTTGCCTAGCTCCCCCGCCCAAGCTGTGGTGGGAGAAGTCTGTTACCAAACACCAGGTTTGACACCAAGTAACCGTAAGCTCAAGCACGTTGCCAAAAATCAGAGGAACGGTTCTTTTGACAACAAATATGTATATACATGCTGCACACATGTCCTGAGGTTCCTGAGCTTTGCACTGCCATATTCTGAAGGCCGACGATGGCATTCTCGCCCCAGGACATGAAGGGATAGGCAGACAGCACATTGTAGTATACCTGTTGGGTGAAAATGGGCAGATAGTGGGCAAATAGATTTCGACGGCAAGGAGGTCTCACCGATGGAACTCCATGTGCTCGAAAAGAGGAATCAAGAAGTCCGGTTGAATTCTGTACCAACGATCCAGTACTTTGAGGGTTCCCAGGCAATGTGCTTCACATTGATAGCTAGAACCTTGGAAGCCTGCCAACTGAGTTGATGCAGGCAAGCAAAGGCTTGCAGAGGAGTACAAACCAAAGAACGGTGCATTTTCTACACACACATATAATGTATATGCACAATGACCGCTGGGGTCCAAGCTTCTTTAACAAACGTGCTTCAAAGGTTGCGCCACCATGCCCTTCTCCCAAAACATATCCATCTACAATCTTGTGTTCATGAGGGTTTAAGTTTAGGGCGGGGTGCAACTCTCTCACACACACAACTACAATACACAATCCTCGCTTCGCGCGTGTCATGCCATCTCCTCTTACCACCTGGAAGTGGTGGGCGCACGAAGATCAAGCTGGCGATGCATTCGTTCACCAGCCAGGCCTCCGAGAGCCCCACCGCACTACCGGCCTCGCACGTTCGCACGTTTCGGACCCAAACGGTGCGATTTAGGTGGCATTCTGAGGCATTCAATCGGTGGAATCTGCAGAAGGTCTTGGAGAAGCTCATGTTGCACTCTTAGAACCAGAAGAACAGTGTGCACTTGCTGGGGATCGGGATCAGCAGATCCTCTTCAAGTAGATGACGGAGGTGAAGAATGCAGGAGAGAGTTGTTGTACATCGTGAATTGCCCACTGAAATCTTCAAGCAACATATCCCTCCACATCCCTCCCCTTAAGGGAGCAAGACAGGTTATCTCAAGATTGGGGTGTCTAATGTATACGGTTCGGACTGGCCAAGTCCACCGCCTACTCTCGGTCTTTTGAACTGTTCAGATGTTGGAAAGCTAAGCAGCTGATCGGCGTTCTTGATTTGATATATGCCGCATGTCCTTTCACCACCAATTCAAGCCTTGCTCAAAATGCTCCCTTGCCTTGAGGATATTGTAGATCTGAGGGAGCTTCATCAAGCAACTCCTACCGAGAACAACTCGAGAGTCAGAGTGGCCAAACACGAAGTGGTTGTGCCAAACCAACATTGTGGTAGTAGGATGTAGTAGGTAGATGGGAGAGGAAGTGATTTAAGCATCGTTTCCAAGCAACGACACTGTCAAGTGAAAGGTTTCTGGAGCGCTGAACACACCAATCTCCACAACAAAGGTTCAGTTTTGGGCCAAATCCTTACATTACAGCTCAGCAATCCTTTGCCGTTCTCCCTGCCTACTCTCGCCCACAAAGAACTTCTTTTGCTCGCGCTTCGGGTCAACAGGTGGTGAGACGGATGGTGAAACAACGGATGGCGGATGCATCTCAACGGCACATCATGCATTGGCCAACTAGTTGAGCTGATCATGAGTTTTCAGGTAACCTCAGGATACTCCATCTACCGTAGTAAAGGCCCTTCTAAAGTAATGACTCCAAATAGTCCACAAGCAATACTATGATAACATGTTTTCACCTGCAAACTCGTGGTTATGCATGGTTCGTGAGGTGTAGAGATCCATGTTTGACAAAACGTGAGCTGCCAATGCCCGAGCTTCCTGCGAGCAGACTCGCAGACTGAGTCGGCATGGCATGCATTCGGTGAACTTGATCCTCCCGAACACATACCTTTCTGAGCGCCCTCCACCACTTTGGCGGTCGAGAATGTTGAAATACCAGATCCCAAGAAACCCACAAGCTATCCGTTGAAGATCTGCAACAAGACTGCATCTTATGCCCCACCAAAGTGCCGTGTGGAGGGCTTCTGAGGTACTGCTCCCCTCCTAGCACTGTTCGGCTCATGGCAAATTATACCTTGGCAACTCATGTCGTCATGGGCGAATCCGAAGCTGAAGTACCGTACCACTTGCCAACTCTGATCACTGATCCCTGATCTGTGCAGGTGGTCTGTAACTTCATGGATGTGGAGTGGAACAACTGAAGACAATTCCGAAACAGGAAATGCATGATTCTAATCATATGAGTTCGCAAAGAAAATCAAGGAAAACCTACCCTCCAGCTTCCGCCTCTTCAGCTTCTTCTCTGGGCATCACTGTTGCTGCAACTGGTGCAGTCCAGGCACAGGCTGGGTGAACGTCGTTCTTGTGAGGCATAGCTGGGGCCTAAGGAGGCTGAGGGTTTCAGCATCGCCTTTGCAGTGCCGGTCAGCTGCGGAGACCTGTGAGGTCATGGTCCGGCTGCGAAGCCACAAAGCATGCCAAGCACATTGGACACTGTATATTTCAGTGTGCAGCTTCCAACAAAAACCTAGCAGGAAGTGAATGCTGCACTCTGCATCGCTCTGCAGACAGTAGACAGGTACGGTGCACCGGTCAACTGCAAGGATCATGCATCCTACAGCTCAGCTTGCCCACTCTCCCTGCCTGATTTTTGACATGTCACCACGGCAAATCATGAACTGATTCTTTTGCGGCTTCACCGGAGGCCTCAAACACAGACACCATGTTACTGGCAGTGTTCCCAGTGTTTGTTGAAGGTGCGTTTCAGTCACAGTAACTCTGGAGTCATGTTAAACTTCTTCGTCTACTGGGTAATCTAAAGAAGTTCAATGGTGCTTTGCTGCAGAAGAATGCGCCGCTTCTTGGAGGTAGCACGAATGAATGAAGCAACCGACCAAATGTCAAGCTTGGCCAAACCGAGGTAACTTGTTGGGGTCACGAAGCACGGGCCTTGTCCCACTTATTGAAGCAAGGTCCTTATTGCACTTGAAAGCATCTCCCAACAACCAGGCCCATTCCTCTTCTAAATAAGAGCCCGCGCGTCAAGATGGCCGCGCGGCAATCGAAACCTGGAATCCGCCCAAACTCGATCCGCATCCAGCCCCAATCCCTGATCCATCCGCCCCATCTTCAGCTCCAAACGGCCCTGGCTTCCTCACGTGTTGCTCCAAGCTCTGTGACGCTCGGATCGTCACCGAAGGGTCCGACGCGGAGCGGCTCAGCACTGGGCCCTCCTGGCGGGAGACCCTCCCGGTCTCTGCCGGTCTCTCCGGGCAGCTCATGGGAACGAACGGCTTTCAGGAGTTGGTGAGGTCATCTTACGGAACAAACAACTTCAGCTTCATATCAAATCATACCTGGGCACGTCCTCTTAGCCAACACGTACGTATATAATGTTTATATTACAAATAGCCTGGTTTGACTCAACTCCACAAAGGACATTCTTCGATGCAAACGACCCTTCTTTGTGTGTCTGCTTCACTTCCGCTGCGTCTCCAGCATCTCTGCACTTAAGCTCTGCTCCAAGCTGATCAGCTCAGTGGCAATCCTCACCAGGACAGTCCAGTTTTCCATGCGATCATTGTCAGATTCCGTTCAACAGGGACACTCGACAAATACGTCTCAGTGGTTGCCCAGACTCCAATGTTCCTTTGGTCAAAGAGATGCCGTAGCAAAGACATTGTGACATTGTGGCCACAGCCCAGGAGAAAACTTGTAGGGAAAAAGAGATTGGTATCTGTCCCAAAGTAGGTCCATACGCGATGGCACGTTCACATCGAAGTATCATGAGATCGGCAAATATCATGAGTAAGCACTTCAAAAGCCCACACGAATTGAAGCACAGTAACAAGAAGCTAATTACTAGGAACAAAGGGCATTGCTACTAGGAGCAAGAAGCTACTAGAAGCTCCCGGCATTACTATTAGTAACACCCATTCCTTGCCTTTTTTGATGTTGCCAGTCGCAGATCCCGGCGCGAGACAGGCCTGCAGACTGGCACAACAGGAAGCCTGTCTTCGTTCCAACAGTGCTGTACCCATCCTTCTCAAACCGGCAGTGAAGTTTATTCCAGTCTGGTTCTAGAATCTAACATCCACTTTACGTTTCTATCATCCGGAATCATGAGAGGGCCTCCGTTTAATTCTCGTCCTCTTGGTCTTTTCTCCCTCAATCGGTCAGAGTCTCTTCTGGAAAAACATCACGCCGAAGCGTGCCTTTGGAGAGGAAGCCCTGCTTCCTCAAGTCCCTGAGGCCAATCAATGAGAAGTTCCGCATGGCGGTCTCCGCATACTGCGGCCTTATGCAAACATTGTGCCTTTTGAGGGGGCGGAATGATGGAGGCAGTGAATTGACTCACTGGGAGGCCACCGTCCAAGCCTACAACCTCTTGGTCCACATGCCCGAGCGGACAGGAAATGAACCTTTTGCTGCTACTTACTGCATGTTTGAAGGTCAGGTAAGGCTTAGATAGATAGTGCTTCAGATAAATGATCATTCAAGCAAGACTTCCCAACATCGGCCATGGAGATATATAAAATAAAACATGTGCTTCCATCCCAGATTGTCTGGGCTGCCCAGGCAGCTCGCACAGGTCCGCCACGAAGGTGGCAGCCTCCTCACCCTGCCATGGCTCCCTCTTCATGGCCTACACTGGCAGCTCTACTGCTCTGCGCAAGCTTCATACACTATGAATGTGAGATCCTGGTGATCATCGCAGTTCTTGCTGGTCTAAACCTTAATGCCACAAAATGGCCCATACACTACACCTAATTATATATATAATAGAGTCAAACATTACACTGAAGTGCTATGTCCTCTTGGGGCCAATGGCTCGGCGTCTCAGGCTGTGACAGGTGATTTCCAGGGTGCGTAGAGAAGACTCTGGAACGAAACCCAGACTGATTGCACCTGGGCGATGTCCTTCCAAATCAACTTGCCACAAAAAACAGAATCAGCTCCAGAGACACTCCAGCGCTCCAGAGACACCCCAGCGCTCCCAGGTCAGTCCCTGCCAGCATGGCGCAGTTCAACACCATGACGATGAGTTGCTTCAAGTCTCCAGACTCCATGGCTCCAACGCCGGCGTTTTGGGCGACGACTCGTGGGTTGCAAAGCGCAAAGCGCCAAGAAGGACGTGTCGAAAGCTGATTTAAAGAGATTCGGGCTGGGCTTCCCAACGCCTAGCTGCCTGGTCTGCCTAGAAGTTGGTTGAACAAGATCTGCTTCTGCACAACTGGACCTTGCTACTGTAGCTTGTTTTGTGTGACGTCAGCTTATATAGCTTGATGAACGCCTGAGCCCAAAATCTTGAACCGATTATATATATATATATACAATAGCATCTGAAGTTGCATGCAAAAGACAAATTTGTGAATAGCCAGGACATGGCAGCCATCAAGTACTTTATTACCTTCCAACCAACAGCTGCTCTGATTGATGTATACCAAGTCCTGGAAATTTGTTGCACTTAGAGCTCAAAGGAGTGTCACAAGAGCTTGAGCGTCACTTGGTTGCCTTACAAAGTGTTTGTTCATGCACTCATTCTGAAAGACAGAAACACGTTCTAATTGACAGATACACCTGTGATCATGGGCCACCTCTCAGACGGGGTAGCAACATGTAACGAGGTCATCTTATCACTACTATCTAAAACAAGACAGAGAGAGAGAGAGAGGGAGGGGGGGAGAGCAAGAAAGAAAGAAAGAAAGCAAGAAAGAGAGAGAGAGAGAGAGAACAGTTCGTTGTATTCCCAATGCCCAACGCCGTCTTGTTACTCAAAATCAGAATCTATTCGAATGGCAAAGAAAATAAAGGCAAGAATATCCTATGGACGAAGGTTCCCATCCTCCTATTACAGTGAAGGGGAAGTTGCGCTGAGATCCCTGGGTCTTAAACTCTCCTCTTTGAATCTCTTTGAGACCCTGTTATGATTTGATATTATAAATAGATATTATAAATAGATACTATAAAAAGTAAACTGCCCCAACACTTCACAGTCGCTTCACTCATGCTCTTCACCGCTCATTTCGCTCTCTTTTTCGGTGCGCTTGTCGGACCTCCTCCAGGCTCGGCAGTCGCAGGGTGCCCGCCTCCACAGCATCTTGGAGATGACGCGTCAGGAGCTCCACCACCTCGGGAGCTGGGTCTGAGGCGTCGCGAGGCGTCGCGAGGCATAGCGCGAGTTGCGGTGCGTTCAGCGCGGGGTGCTTCCTCCACTGGACAGATATGGGGGTATCACTGGACAGATATGGATCAGTATGCCGGCATGCCTCAAAGTGAATATCTTTCAATCGCAAAGAGGGTGGAGGAAAGATTGCCAAGGGTTCCCGCGGTCGCTGGGTTCAAGCTAAAACCAAGGAGACGCACCGGTCAAGAATAGGGAATATGCGGAATTAAGAAAGTTACTAAAACACTTATATCAAACATTTGATACAAGGGATTTGTGATCGACTGTTTCTCGTTCAATGAAGTGATGCATTTAGTTTAATCTAATCGGCTATAAAGATTGGAGTAAATATATATATATATTTATATATGACAAAACTAGTCACAGTAAATGAGCTCTTATTGCAGAGGTGCTTCCCTCACTATGTAAAGCTTGGGCATGACAAAAACCATGTGCATTGCTACTGGCTGCTACCCAAAAGGAAACCGAAGAACCGAAGAAAAGAAACCAACCAACTGGGAAAAACGAGAAGAAAACCATACGAAAACCATCGTTTCTGATCGCCTCTCGCCTCAAACATGTTGCGGCCACGGAGGTGGTTCACCCACAAGGCCTGCTCCTCATCCAGGAAGCCAAAGCGGCACATCAAAGCCACCGTGGGATCCTCACGGTAGGTGACCTGGTGCTCGAAGAGAAAGGGAGATGAGAGGTAGATATGGCCTCAGTCGCCGGGAGGAGGCCAAGGCTATAAGGAAGTCACCCGCTCTTGAAGGACTTGCATTCATGTGTAGCGCAAGGTGATCATGTGTGTTGCAAACAGTGAATCATTTCTCGGGGTGATTTTATAGTCTGTCTTTGCAAGACAAGCCGGTAGTTCCCAAAATGGCCACGGCCAGAGGCACCTATGCCAGAATTATGAAAAGCGTAGTTTCAAGAACCCCGAAGACACAGTGTCCAGGAAAAAGAAAACACAACAGTGCTCACACGTGATTTCATTGGCATTGCATGGCATGAAACCCATAAATCAATAACTTCCCATGGTTCCACCGCCCACATCGTACCATGGTTCGCACAACTGAGTTCCACCTCATCCCTGCTTGCGTCAACCGGTGTCAAGGGGCCGGCGCTCATGAAGACCTCCTGTTCCCAGGCTTCGTCCGTCCAGGCCCGCAGCCTCAAACGCCGCTGGCCCTGCAAAGTGATCCTCGCAAAGCCGCAGGATGATGCATGGCGAACGGGTATCAGGTAGATCCTCTCAAAAGAGACCAAAGACCAAAGTGATGAAGGCAGAAAGCTTCTGGCTCAAGGAGGCTCAAGGAGGACTATAACAAGTAAGGAACATGCCAGGTAAAAAGTGCTAGCCTGGTGCTAGCTAATCAGCATGAGAAAAAGCTTCTAGCTGATTCAAGGCCCTGTGGAGCTATACATTGCTTCGGGAGACACCCACCACTGGCAGGTTGCACAACACACAGCTATCAAATGGATATGTGATACATGCATTGTTTGTTCTCCAAAAAAGGGCAACATCCTGCAGACCCAACCTGCCCCCTGGCTGAGCCCTAAGAATGATTGTTGAAAGAGAGCTGAAAGCTTCCTCAGCCTGATCTCTCCAACACCCCGACCGTTGGGGAAAAAAAGAAACAACGATTATCGCCCAGGCTCCCCATGTGCAAAAGCCCTGTGGCGCCATCCTTATGCCAATGCATCTCCTTTCTTCGCCCAGGGCCCGCCTGGTGTGGCGGACGAAAAAAAAGAAGCCAGCAACTGGCGACAGCGAGCTCACCTGCTGAGACCTTTTTTTCTGCTGTAAACATATTGTCCACTTTTTTGGGGCTCACCACTTCAAACTGGAGAGAACTGGCAACATTCTAAAAAGCGCTAGAAACAAAACAAGATCGCAAGATCTCTTTCTGGTTGGCAGGTGCTAGAAGTTTTGACACGCATCGCACTAAACCTGTTTCCCATACCTCAGCAGTTAGGCTTTCACAACAAACTTCTTGTGGTCAATTCAATTAGATAAACACGTGTGTATATACTATATATATAATATATATACTATAAATATATATATATATATGTGTGTGTATTGTATTGTACAACCAAACGAAATCAACTAGTTGCCCAAGTTGGCGGCTTCGATCTTGTCGACGAACTGGTCGATTCACCTCGGTGCCTGCGCTTCGATGGCCCCGAAGAAGCCACGCTCCTCGAAGTCCTCGATGAGAAGATCCAAGAGCCGCGTCCTCGGCGGTCGGTCTAAGGGGTCGAAGCAAACAGGTCGAAGCTCAAGCTAGCGCTCTCTCTCTCTCTCTCGGCCGGACTCCAGATGTTCACAATAGAATGTGGGTGACTTGGTTGTCTAGTTGCTACCAGAAGAGTTTCGGAGGTCGCCTTGTTTTGAACCCACTCAGGGTGAAGCTTCAGGCAGCTTCTTGGTTCAGCTTGACATGCCTTGAGAAATGGGGGGTGGGTGTTTCTTCGAGCCTGGGAATATCATCGGGCTTTTGGTCCCGCAAGACTTTGAGACTCTCCGTCATCTCCAGCCACAACTCCTCCAAGAGGCCGAAACAAGTGCATGATGTGCTTATCACGACTGTGGCTGACAAATAGCAGGACTCCGCACTCTTGCATGTAAGGTCAAATCAGTATTCATGCTTGGGTCACGAATGTCTCCAAACCCTCCAAGTGCCTCATTGACCGTCCGGAAGGCTTCGAGGAAGGCCAACACACGGGGAGGTGCCTGCGTTGAATCTTCTTTTGGACTAGTTCTTTGGTACCAACACTTGCAAACAAAAGGCAATCATTACCGTAGGCTGTGTTTCAAGATGCTTCGAGGCATCTGAAAGTTCTGTTGAAAAACCTCCAATAGCTCAGTGATCTGTCCCTCTATGCCATGCCGGTCCGCATCACGACCGGCGCGGAACCCGTCGATGAACCCGTCGAGACGCGTCGAGCGGCTGCCTGTCGCACGGGAAGGACCTTGTTCTTCCGTGGGACAAAGATGTCGAAGGTTGCTCCCCAGCCCGGCACAGAGTGCCTCAACGACCAAGGCTCAAGGGGTTGGGAGAGTATGGATTTTGATGTAAAAAAATACAAAATGAAAACAACACAATAGTTCTTAGTTGTCAAATATTTTAAGTATTGGTTTTGCCATTCCTATAGGCGACAAACCGGTGTTGTTTTGGCCCTTCCTAGGCAACCGACCGGTTCAAGTTGTGATTGCGTTAACATATGCATATGCTTTAAAGGCAATGCCGAAATGACCGCCCAAACGGGTGCAAACGAGCCCAAGCCCAAGAGCATAGCCGGTTTCGCCGAGATACCAATCTGCTTTCAACATAAAAGGCTCTCGCTTTGAAAACTGAAAATTCCAGCTCTTCCAGTTTCCAGGAGCATCCTCCTCCTCGTCTGGTTCATTCTTGCCATCCACATCTTCATAGAGACGATCTGGCCACTCTGAGGTGCCCAAGAAGGGACCTTCTGGGTCCTACGCAACAGAGAGTTCCTAGATCAACCCCTTCAGGTGCGTCTCACAGAATAAAGCCCCTAGGCCCTAAGCTCAACACATTGATCGAGGCTTCCCAGCTTTGACATCCCAGCTGGGACATGGAGAATGCCAGGCTTCTTGGATTAGTCAACCCTCTTTGACCGATCGATGCTTCGATGCTTTGACCGATCGGTCCTCCGAGATGTAGCTCGTGAGGTGCCTTGGCAACTCGGCTCATGGGTCTCCATCTCCTGGTCCCTGTTCCCATCTTGCTACACCAAAAGGTGATCCCATCCCATCAATCGGGGGCAAACACCAATCGGGCCCAGTCCTGCGGAGAAACCACTATGGAGCTGAATGAGTAGGAACGAGTAGGATGGGTTTGTCAGATTTGATCAGCGCATCTTAGTTAATTAGTTCAATTATTATGCTCATCGAATTCATATTGAATTCATCCCAGCCACTCCGAGGGTGGTGCCAGCAAGAAGACCACTGGCGCATCCTCTCCGCCCACTTTGGTGCCTCGGAGCTCTGGCTGCGCCTCGACCAGGTGCCGCAAGGGACCCGGACCCGCACGGGTCGGGGCCTCGGTTGACTGAGTACAGCGAGAGTACGTCGTGTGCAGAGAGACCACGACTACTGAGATATGCAAAGAGACCAAAGAGACTGGAGATCAAAAGGTGGACTTGTTTCCCTTTTGGGCGATCTTGAAAGCTCTGTAATTCAGCCATGTCACAGCTCGGGCAGCGGTTGCCACACGCTTCACTTGATGCCAGCTGAGCACCCAAGTGTGAAGTGTGGGCCTTCGCGAGACTTCGTTGGGTGTGGTGCACCCTTCCTATCCTTCCTCGTCGAGGTCAATTTGTTTGGATCCCGTAATGTACAGAACCATGTAAAAAGGCTTCAAGAAACCTAGCAACAAATTACAGTGTCTGCCAACCGGCAATGAACTCTGAAGAGTACTGTTGATCATTTATATCTATATACCCAAACCAGTACTTGATTGAATGGCTCGATTGGTGGCAGTCCCAGCCATCAAAGCTGAAATCAAAAATCCTCCAAATTTGATACATTACAGTAGATACAGGAAGTGAGAAGGCCTTTTGTGGAATTGAGGGATTGTGTTCCACAGCTCACACCCCCTTCCCAGTCGCCTCAACGCCACCAAGCTGAACGTCAAAACCAGGCTCGCTCTTCGTGGGTTCCACCAAGGCATGGCACGAGTTCTTCGTTATGCACCGCTACAATATGCCATGTTGTCAAGTCGTTTGCTTTTGTCACATTCTGAGTTTTGGGCTTGTTTGGTTTGGGAATACCGTCAAACCGAAGGATTTTCCGGTGATTGGTGATTCGGAGGCTCACCGTTCAGCTGAGCAAGTCTGGGTGTCTCTGCCCTGGAGACTGAGCGTTCCTAGTTCCACTTGGCGGCTTGTGACCTGGGCCAGCTGAAGCTGAAGCTGCATCAAACAAGCACGGCTAAGCAGAGCGTGGCAAAGACTTGCGCGTGGCGAGACGTGTGCGAGACTCCATGTCCTGCGCGAAAGCAAGAGCGCAAAGCCAAGTAGCGAAATGGTGGCACTTCAAGCAGGTGAATCATAATGCATGTATAGACTAACTTGTTTGCCTCAAAATAATATCAACACAAGCTTGGTCGTTCTTTTTTGTTGGTACCCAGTCCCGAAACAGCTGAAAATGAGTCTGGGCAACTCCATCTCAGGTAACTGTTGGCGAGACTCAAATAGGCCCGCAATACTCACTGTCCCAAAACATCCAAGGGGTAGGATGAATGTGCAGTAGACCTAAATCTTGAGTAATCTCAATAGTCTTGCAGAGACATAGTTCAGCTCTAGCGCTTCCCACAACAGCTTAGAGGAGGTGCTTCTAACCACAGAAGATAAAGCTGCTGTGGCATCCCGGCATCTCTTGTTTTCTCTGCAGAGCATGCTTTTTTAGCTGCTCGCAAACACTAGTACTAGCTCCAGCCTTGCTGGACAGCCAATGTAAAATCCTGATCACTACTTGGTTAAAACAAAACCGAATCTACATTATGAAGCATGCAAATGTTATTCCTCCATAGCAAGCAGACTTGTCAGCGCTTGGAGGCAGGCTTGCAAGCATGTGTTGCAATTCGCCGTCAAATTCAACTAAACCACCAGCGTTTTTTGCATCAATCCTAAATGCCTATCTATGACTTTGACTCGCAGATCTTTACATTCAAGACAAGCCAAGTAGGATTGATCCTGAGCATACCGTTCTCTTTGCCACTCCGGCAGCTCACGCCCGGAAGATGAAGGAAGACTGGGCAAAGTTCGATCTGGGACCGAAGCATCCGTGGGTCGGAACACGGCGAACGATGTGCAAGCGGTTGCGTCCAAAGGGAGCGAGACTAGAAGACGAGTCATTGGATGTGCCATGTTCTCTCAGTTAGGTACATGGGAAACGAGACGAATATATAAAGACAAAACAAACTGTTTTCCATTGTTTTCCAACAAGGCCCCCAAGAAGCATCCTCTATCTATATACTCCAACAGAACAAAACTCATTCGCCAGCAGAGCTCCCCCTTCTGTTTCACTCAGGTGCCTCTCGGCTCTAGCTCAAGCTCTTCAGGTAAGGCTTCAAAGTATGCTGCAAAATCCCAAAGCCCACAGTGCCAGCCATTGTGGCTAAGGGGGCGGCAAAGGCAGAGAAGTAGTTCATGCTGAAGCTGAAGCCCAGGAATTGAAGCCGAGAGGGATGCTCCTCCTAAGATCTGATAAATCTTGCCTTCAAGACCTTTGGCAGTTTCCCTCGAAAACTCCAATGTTTTTGGCATTCATGACCTTGGAGCTACCTTACACTTGGGTATTGCACTTGTCCAGCCTTGAGGAAGGCGCACACAGTGCAAGCAACTAACATGGTGCAAACATCTTTCACTTGCTGGTGGCAATTCCTGTCGCCTGAGGCCTGAGGCATTAACAAAACCAAGCTTCTTCATAGCGCAGGAACTGATTCCGCACTGAAAGTTCCGCTGCTGGTGTTCGAGGCACATGCTCTGGTGTTCTTGATGGATTTGCTTGATCTGGTCCTTCCGGTCCAAACGTCATGGACTCAATGGCAAGTCTCGCTGCCATTGTAGACAAGACACAAAAAGTTGCATCGTCACTTAGAACAAGCATATGTAATTCAGAGTCGAAACCTGACAGCTTCATGTCTAAACCAAAAGGACGAACGATGACACGCTCGTCTCTACCCATCTGTTTGGCCGACCGACGACCGTCCGACCGACTGGTCTCCTTTCGCCCTCAGAGGCGAGCTTTCTGGAGAACCCACCGGAGGCTGCTCGGTCAGCTTCTGGAGCTTTTCGACCCCCGACTGCAGCTTCCAATTCACCTAGCCACAAAAAAAACAAACAAACAAGCAAGCCGAAAGCGAAACGCCTATGACTATAACCAAACAAACAAACAAACAAACAAAAGCCAAAAGCCAGTCCTCAGATTCCTTTCGACTGGAAGGATCACCGAGGATCACAAATTGAGTTGGCACAAGTTGGGCACTTGACAAATGGTGAAGTTGAGTCTTCAGGTTTGCTCTTCAGTTTGGGCACTAGTTACCGACGGTATTTGTATGGTTTGTTACAACTCTAGCAGGGGTATTGGGGATCAGCCCTTGAAAGCATCATCAAATCAATACTGACCTAATATTAATGAGCCTACACCCAAGGCCAGTCTTTGAAGGTCTCCTTGACGATGGGTATTTCAATCAGCCCATGCACCATCCTTCGTTTGCCACCCGCACCTGGCTACCCAGGAAGATGAAAATCAGCATGAAGATTCCCAGGCCGATACCATAGACTGCTGCATAGCAAGTCAGCACAAAGTCCTCCTTCACAAGCACGATTCTCTCAAAACAGGGTCTTTCCATGTCGAACCAGAACCAACAGTCAGGAACTCTCTACAGGCCATCCTCGTGATAGAAAGATGCCAACATCGTCAGGACGATTAGCACCAACTCTCCAGCAAAGCAGAGAAAAATGATTGGTTTCCGCTTTTCCAAGTTCAGATTGATGTCCTCAGGCCATTGGCAAACTGATGTTTGTTCAGAAGCACGAGCTAGCTACCCTTTTGGTGTGCACTCTATAGTTATAATGATGTCATGACTTGGCATGACGCGCATGACTCATGACGCTAGAGTTGGAATCTCCTCTCTACCTGCTGCAGAGAGTCCGAAAAGACCGCCGCACGCGTCTCAAACCACCAAGCAAAGGAGGGATCAGGTTCAAGACGGTCAGGGAGTGCGTTCTCGGCATGGAATTCCAAGCACCTGACGAAGGTGTCCATTGGCTTCTTTTTCACACTAAAAGACACGTCTCACAGCTTTCGGCCCTTAAAAACGTTCAGTTTCTTCAATTTCGATCGATCCTCTATTGGTTAAATGTGTAGCATGTGTGTAGCAGCTCAGTCTTGAGTCATGACATTCACTTCTGCTCATATCGTAGGGATAGCTAGGACAAAAACTACCAGTACCTTTACGCAGTGCTTGCGCGTCGGTTGTTCTGGTCTTACCAACCCTTACACCTTGGAGTCTTTAGCTTACGCGACAGTCTTGGAGTTCAATCAGCACCTCTTGTTGCTGATCTTGGCACGGATCTCGTGGAGCCGGTACCTGAAAAAAATTGACCAAGCCTCTCAAGGCTTCAAAACTCTGCCACTTACGTCAACCTATACCGCTTCTCCATGCCTTTCTGCACAGCTAAGCCACAACAAGATTGCTTGACTCCGCTTGTCCCTTCTTTGCGAAATATGCAGCAAATCCGTCAGGGCAGCAAGCGACCTCAAGGTGAAACGGGCTGATGTGAACACGTTTTCTTGCAAAAACCATCTGATCGAATTAAATTTTGAATGGATTGGTAGGTCGTGTTCTGAGCGACATCGGCGACCTACTCGGCAGCAGTCTCAAAACAAAGATCGGAAGGATACGTACGAATGAAGCCTCCTGCAGCCAGCAAGCTGATCCGCAACCTTGAGGTGCCAGCAGCAGACCAGCAAAATGAGCGTACAGCCGCCCAGGAAAAATGTAGACTCCCACAGAGCCAAACGTGCCAAGAAGGAGTTGTGATTGGATACGCACTCCCAACCTCACACCATACAGCTTTGGATGTGCAAAAGAGTCGTTTGAAGGAATCTGCTGTAAATCGCTTGAGACAACCAACTGTCCAGAATGGAGCAAAAACGGTTGGCCAAGCTTTGCTGAGAAATGGATCTTTGCATTTGGGCTATTTCTAGTTGCCTCAATGCCCTTCGGACAAAGCGCTCCAAAACCAACTGCTTTTCTGCCCAGGAACCTTGCTGCCAGCGGCTCATCACTTCTTGCTCCCGACTCAATGTGGTTTCATTGCCCACAGTCATTGGGTCGTCCCTTTGATGAGTCTGATTGTACAAGAACACTTCGGCTAGGTCTGGAAGAATCAAAAGCATGATACTTCCATAGCCTCCGATGCCCCATGGATTCACCAGGATCAGGACAAGCAAGATTAAAACAGGACCAGCAGCCTGCAAAAAGACCGTGGGAACAACACAGCTCTTCCGAAAGCATTCCTTTTCACGCTTCTTGCTTGCCTTAGCTCTGCAAGTGGCCACCAAAGCAAGGTCATGCGCTGGAACACTATGCTCCTGATCTATGTTTGAAGCTTGAGGGTAGCCTTTTGAGAATTGCCTCAAATGAACGGCTTGAACAGCTGGAAAGTTGCCAAGGTGCATCTAAATGTTGCGAGCCTCGCTTGTAGGAAGATGCAGTGGTTTCTAGAAGGATTGGCTTCCTTGGCCTTTTGCGCCTTAGCAAATCTGCTCTGTGGCTTTGGTGCTGTGGGTTGAGCACCGTCAGAACCGAAAGGGAGCCGTGTTGAAGCACCCAGTGGAATCCGTTGAATGACGCTGAGAACTTGCGTTCGGCCACGAAAATCGAACAGGAAGAGATGTGTGTGTGAGGGCGCAATGGAGGGTGCCAGTGCTGTCCCCCAGTTACAAACTTCAGGACATCGAGGCAGTGAACACCTCTGATTAGATAGTCAAATGCTACCAAGGCTCCGGTTGTCGGCACCGCGGCCAAAGACCAAGAGGAGTATGGCTCGAGACCCCAAGGCTTCATCAATACGCTTGTACTGCCCTTTGCTGTCCACCTAGGAAACAAACTTTATATATAGTATAATCATGTATAATCCCTAGCCAAAGTACAAGTAA